TAGAAAAAGAAAAAGAAATAACTTTTTTGTTCAGTGTGAAAAGTGTTTGGCGTGTAAAACATTAGGGAACAATCTTGTCTAACAATCTTAGAATAACATTATTTTGCTTCCTAAAACGTATCAAATAAATGAGGAAAGTAAAAAAAAAATAATAGTAAGGTAAGGTTGTTATTGTTAAGTAATTGGAATACAACAATTTACTGAAAGGCAGTTATCAATATTGAAAGCAAGCCTCAGTTGCAAAGATGGGTCATGTTACATTCCAAGTAATTTCATATATATTGTCAGAATTGGAAATGAAGAAAGTCGTTATATCATCAACTCTGTTAGGAGAAGGATGGGTAGAGATGGGTCTTTTATATTCCAAACACTTCGATAGATACTATCAGAATTAACAACAAATAAATCATTATATCATCAACCCTGTTTGACAGAGGATATGTATAGATGGGTCATGTTACATTCCAAATACTTCGATAGATACTGACAGAATTCACAACAGAGAAAGTTGTTATATCATCAACCTTCTTAGACAGGGGAGAAGTATAGATGGGTCATGTTACATTCCAAGTAGTTCAGAGATATTGTCAGAATTCACAACAAAGCAAGTCGTTATATCATCAAACCTGTTATACAGAGGGATAAATAGGAATCATAAAGTGTTTAATTCTAATTTACTTATTTTAACACGATTTCAAGCACCAAAATATTGGTTATTTCAAAAAACTCAAAAAAAAAGAGAAAAGGAATTTAAAAAAAATATTCTGTGAAACACTGAGGAAGCTATTATCAGAACGAGAACAGAGAAATGTGTAGTGATATGTGCTAAATAACAGCAATCTATGAGTGAGGGTTAGCCTATCTGTTTATAGAAGGCTTTATGTATTATACGAAGTGTTGTTTACTCTTTAACTAAATGTTGTATTATAATCTGTCTAACATTTCTATTACTCATACGTACATGTGTGTACGTTATGCATTAGATTTTGGTTCAATGTTTTTGCTTTCATAGGTCTATTAAAGTTTCTACACGTGTCTAATTTAAGATAAACATTGAGATATCTGTTCTGTTATTGATTATTGAGATAATTTTGATAAGTTGAAAATGGATAATGTTAACCTATGATAAAAACAAATGACATGTTAAATCTTTTATTCATCTTTCATAAAACTAATTTAGTGTTAAAGAGTGTTGTACAGGTGTAGAATTATTTTATACAGAACAATTCTATAATGCAGAGAAGAAGTAAAGTTTAGAAATACCCCAATTATCAGTATTCTGTAATACTAAGAATAATGCTGTACAACAGTACAACTACTCTGACCATAGAGACTTTATGACTCATGGAAACATATTATACAGGTAGAACTTTGTAAAGTAGGGTAGGAAATTATCCAAGGGAAGAAATATTGCAACCGTAACAGCTATGTAATTCATGGGCACGGACAGAAATTCTATAAATACGTCGCAGTTCAAATAAATGTTAATTTTAACCCTTTCTAACTAGTTTACAATATACTTTTAGTAAGTTGTGCAGGTAGTTTTTCAAACTTTTCGTGTGGGTGTTATGCGTATATTTGATGCCATCTTTGTAAATTGGATATTTGAAGGTCATAAACACTTATTTATTCTTTTGTTTAGGTAAAGGTTATATACGGAAACGTCTACCCCATATAAGCGTGTACCAGTTTGATCTTGTATCTGTATCCTCTCACTGGCGTGGAATAAGCTCATCTCAAGGAATAACAGAAATATGCGTATAAATTGGTACGAGTTGTGTTTCTCTCTATTATGTATATATATGTTATTTGAATAGTTGTTGATGTTGGTAACTTAAGGATTGTGGAATACCACACTAATAATTTTGTCTGGCTTTAAAATGTGGTATTTTATTAATATTTCAGGTGCTCTTATTTTGTGTAGACGTTTAAGAAATCATTTTCCATTTCCGACAACCAGTGCAATTATTCAACTTAGAAGTCGGCTAGAAAATAAAGTAAAATCATAAGTGTTGTTCTTGTGGATAAATATTTTGTTTTCCTTGTTCACTTGTGTTTTTCTTCTTTTTTCGCTGTTCATGTTCAGTTTATTCTCTACATAACATTTTAAGAACCTGTATATCGTAAATACTAATAACTACTTGTATCAGTGTATCTGAATATCATAACTATAACGAATGTATAATGTAAAGAAAGACATTGTAAAAAGGCATAATTATTCAAGCCTGAAATAATAAAATATGAAGAGACTAGTTTAATACTACAGAGGACTTAATCTTAAACTAATAAATAAAAGTTAATTACCCTTAAGTGGTTAAAATGTGATATTCAATAAACTGTTTAGCGCTGGGTGTTAGGGTTATAATATGAACGGCATAATGTTCCATACTAACGATACAAACCAAAGTGCATAAGCTTACTTGTGAAGGGAAGCACATTAACAATAACAATAACAAACAACAATTTACAAGCATAATTAAAATCATTTTATGTACTAACCATAATATATGTTTCAACGGAACATTGATCTGTTTTCTATTAAAATGTGTAGTATGTTCTCTACGTAAAATAATTTTCATTGTGATTGAATATCGTTTTTCGTTAATTTACTATTAATTTCATCTTAACAAATGAATAACATATTATCAGGAGAATATAGTTACTATCAAGAATAAAGAGCTATTATTAGTGAATGCAATTATTCTCAAAAAGAAATAGTTATTATTACACGAATGTAGTTATTAACAAAGAAAATAGCTATACCGAGAAAATATAACTATTTATAATAATGTTATTGACAAGATCATGATAGTAACTATCAGCTTAATTTAGTATTTAACAAAATACATAATTAGTGTAGCGTAAATATAGCAAATTCCAAGCAAAGACATTTATTATCATATGAAAGAAGTTACTAACAAACGGGGATGGTTAATATCTTGTAAAGTAGCTGTTGACAAACAGACACAAGTATTATCATATGAAAGAAGTTACTAACAAACGGGGATGGTTAATATCTTGTAAAGTAGCTGTTGACAAACAGACACAAGTATTATCATATGAAAGAAGTTACTGACAAACAGGGGTAGTTATTATCTTGTAAAGTAGCTGTCGAGAAACAGACACAAGTATTATCATATGAAAGAAGTTACTGACAAACAGGTATAGCTAATATCTTGTAAAGCAGCTGTTGACAAACAGACACGAGTATTATCATATGAAAGGAGTTACTGACAAACAGGGATAGCTAATATTTTGTAAAGTTACTGTTGACAAACAGATAGAAGTATTATCATATAAAAGGAGTTATTGACAAACAGGGAAAGCTATTATCTTGTAAAGTAGCTGTTGACAAACAGACACAATTCTGATCTGATAAATGTAGCTATTGACAGGCAGAGATTGTTGGTGTAAAGAGAATGTATTTATTGACAGTGAGAGAGTAACGATCGGGCGAATGTTGATACTGCCAAATACAAACATCAATTAAATCAATTTAAATTCTATGGGGTTTTTTAAAGTTGATAAGTAACATATTAAACAGTTCATTGGATTCTATTCGTCAGTGAACTGCAGATGAAAATGTTAAAAATAAGGACAGGAAACTAAAATAGCGATTTATTTTCAACAATCATCTCAACAGGATTTCCAAATTTGAGCATATAATTTTACACATATATATTCAAACTTGTAGCAGTTGGAATTAAAAAATAATGATAAATTATTTTATACTCTCTTTTCAAGAATTCTGAATATGACAAAACGATCAATATCCTATAGTAGTTACAAAAATAAGATTTTGTGTTACCTTATCTTCAGTTTGTTTGACGTCTGTGTATTTCACAGTTTTACTTATATAATATCGACAACTGTAGTGTAAAAATGTGTATTATCTTCCTTAATATACGAAAGACTGTTTTACTCCTTTATTTTACAGTTTTAGTGCTTTTGAACTACTATACTAGAGAGAAAGCAGCTAGTTAACAACCCCTACCGACAACTCTTGAGTTGCTCTTTCTTGGCAGAATAATGGTATTTGATCGTCATATAGTGCGACTTCACTATCGAAGTGCGAAACGCGTTTTAGCGGCAACGGGACGCTAGTCAAAATCCTCGAATTCACAGTCCGGGCACGTAAACCACTGTCAACCCTAACGAATTTGAATAAGTGGATAATTAATCCAAACTGAATTATTCTAAAGGTGAAGTAAAAGTTGGATGTTAATTATAACGTTATCATTTATTAGTTAATTTGCCAATAATTACGTGATTCGGAGAACACAGATGTTTTAAACAATGACGTGTGAACATTATAGGGCTTTAGTTTGTATTCAGACGAAATCTATAATATTCTTATCGTGAATAACACTTTCTAATTTAGTATCAGGGCGAGTTAAACAATTTGTATAATACTATAGGATATATATTAATATAGTAATAATTATCATATAATAATATAATTTCGAACAAAATATGTCGTTTGTTATAGAACAAAACGAAGATAACTAAATTAATAACTCTTTCTCGTTTGTTTTTCAGAGCAAAGCCGCATTGGGCTATCTGCTGTGTCAACCACGGTGAATCGAACCTCGGATTTGAGTCCGTTGACTTTTCACTGTCCCACCGGGGGACCATTTGGTAGAGACAAGCAGAAATGGATAGATACCGATTTTACATAAATTATAATAAAGTTGAATAATTAATCCTTAATAATATTTTATCGCAAAACCAGACAATGATTATCTGTACTTTATCAATCGCGGGAAATCGAATCCCGAATTTCAGCATTGTGAGTTAGTAAATTTATCGCTTATCCACTGAGGGATTTTTATGGGATGAAATTTAGGAAATGACGAACTTTTAAAGTAACGAATTTCGTTTTTAATAGTAAACAATACAAAATTAAAACAGAAACATTTTAATAATCCAGTTTGTAAACACAATTGATTTTAAATTTATTCTTTAATATCTGATTCAGGGACAGAAAAAGTCTCTCTTACCTGAGCAAGCTTAAAACAGTCGTACACTATGTCAGATTATTTTACTAGCGACTACATCTGCAACAAAAGCAGATATTTCACGAACTGTTGCTTCTGCTGAAGATGAGGAAGATTCATATTATGTATGACGTAACGAAAACTCGAAAATGATTAACAGTTTGAGTTTTTCCACTAAATAAATCTGTGACAAAATGTATCCTTGTCCAAGAAAATGTAGTCTTTTTCTATACTCTTGTGTAGACAAAAAAAATTATTCACGGTTTGAGTAGAGTATTTTCTGTCAAGTTTGTTAAGCAGTTAATTATATATTAGTAGATTTTCTTAATTTACTTTATAGCTAGGCTTAAAATTCACAGGCTACTGTAATACCAGTTTATATGAACTAAGCAACGATATAAGTTGCTACAGAATCGAACACAGGTTTCACAAAGGACATTGTTATAAGCCAGCTAACCCAGCTATAGGCATACCTCGACTGATCTTCCTTCAACCACACTTACGGTATATATGTAAACGCGACAAACGCGTTAAACGTGGTGGTCTCTTGAGTAAGTGATCGTCTCTGTCGATAAAGTGCGACCATAAAGCCAAGAGATGGCGCTCGTGAGAGTCTCTGTGATTATTGAAGCGCGGTAATTCGCGAAAGTGGCACAAATGAATAGAGACTGACGGCTAATTGTGGTTTAGTTCTAGAAGTCAAGCACGTGGATGAAATGATAGCCAGTTGTAGAAAAGAACAAGAAAGCAATAAAATGAAGCTCCTGAAAATGTTACTATATTATGAGCAGCTAGAATAATAATAACAAATAACAAAAAATATCTCACCTTTCACCAAAATATATTGGACAGAACTTTTCCTTTTAAATGATCATAAATATATTTTGAATGACAACTTATTATATCCACAGCTATATTTTTTATGTATATATGCTTGTTTGCATCAGATTCACTCTCATAAAATCTTCTTCAATGGTGTTCGATATGGCTAAGGAAGATAGCATAAAGAGCTACGCTTCAGTACGTACCTTCATATTAATCAAGTATGTTATCGTGATCAATCAGCACATGCCTTGAGCAGACTTCGATCAATGCGAGTGAGATTTCATATGAACAGGTTGTGGTATATAATAAAATAGACTATTTGTTTGCTTCTTTCTGAATGTTCGCACAGTGGACTATGTGTGCTCTTCCCGCCGTATCGAAACCCAATTTTTAGCATTATAAATCTTAGACTTACATCTGAGCCAGGGTAAGGGGGGGGGGTTGGAGGAAGACAACTAGCAACAACACCCACCACTAAGTGTTGGACCATTCTTATCAGACCAAATAATAGGATTTCATCATCTTTCTTATATCACACCAACAACACTAAAGTAATGAGAACTATTTTGATTTTTGGCTGTGACGACAAACCAGCAGTCTGGTAGGCTAACACGGGCTTTTTATTAAGCTCGAACTCTATGATACGCAAAATTTAGTGCCGTAAACATGGAAAAAATATATTTTATTAAATTCTAAAAATAAAATTTCGAATATTACACCTATATCAAGTGATTTGTGGAAGTGACACCAACACCTGACATCTGTTTGGATGTGGAAACATTATAGAAATATAAGTAAAAGAAAAGGAATACTCAAAAGTGAGTGAGTTAAATAAAAAAGCGGTAGTTTATGTTTCTATTAAGAGCTTTAGTTACTTCAAATGTAGACAAACATTAGCTACTTAATTTATGTTTATTGTTCACATAACCGTTCTAGAATTCTGAGCTATCACCACCAAGTCACAGTCGTTGATATGCTTGCATAATTGTTATGTGTAACTCACTTTCAACACAAGAAATAAAATAATAGTTGATTAGACAATTACTACTGGAAAAAGAGATTATCATTCAGATTTTTTTCTCGTACACAATCGTGCGTGGCCTATTATAGTGCCTATTAAATGCTATTGACTCGCTATTTTCCCCCTAGTCTACCGCTTCAAAATTAGGGTCTGCTAGCGCAGGCAGCCTATGTGTACCATTGCGCGAATATTCCAAACTAGCGTAAGTACCCGGCTTCGCCCGGGTTATTAGTTTTATATATTCTAGATTACTAAGTAACATGATATAAAAGTCATCGTTTAAATGCATTGTTACCAAAACTCACTGGCTTTTCAAATACATTAGACGTTGTTATATAAGGAACCACTTCTTTTCTATGTGGCTTTTCGCTAATCATACTAAGCGGACCCTCACAGTATTATTACTTATCCACATGCTATGGCCGCAAAATTTCAGGATTCTAGGTTCTTTCCTCTTGTAGCAATGGCGGTCATACACACACACACAGATAAGCACGTACGCACGCGCATGCGCGCACGTATGCCCGTGCGTGGCTGTTTGTGATTTTTATTAGTAATATAAAGGAACCACTTCCTTTCTATGTGGTTTTCGCTACCTTAACTCATCAAAAAGATGCGCACACACATGAATAAGATAAGCAATACCCAGGTACACACCTTCCGGGTCCACTTAGTATGGGTGCAAAATTTCAGGTTTCTAGGTTCTTTCATTTTGAATCTATGGCAATTTTAAACACACACAAACGCAAGTGCGCACGCACACGTGAATATTTGAATTAATTTGAGACCGTATTCCTTGATGAAAATGCTACAATTAAAAAATTATACCCAAGCTAACTTGACTCCAGGCTATTATCATGATCAAATCTATATTAAACAGGGCTGCTAATTACATTGCAGATTTCTAGGTTATTTCCTCTTGGAGCTATGACAGTCACATACAAACAGACACGCACGTGCGTACGCGCTTGCACGCATGCATGCAAGTGCGTGTCTATCTGTGATTTATATTTGTAATATAAGGAACCACTTCTTTTCTATGGCTTTTCTATATATTAGAATTTATTATATAAAGAACCACTTCTTTTCTATGTGGTTTTTCGCTAGCTTGTTCGTCAAAAAAGATGTGTATGCGCGTAGGTGAGTATCTGTCTGTGATTTATATTTTCAATATAAGGAACCATTTCATTTCTATGTGGTTTTTCGCTAGCTTGACTCATAAAAAAATACACACGCGCTGACGTACATGGATAAGTATTAATACTCAGGGGCACACCCTCAGGGTCCAGTTAGTATGTATGCAAAATTTAAGGTTTCTAGATTCTTTCCTCTTGGAGTTATGGCGATCACAGACACACAGACACGCCCATTTATTATTATAGGTAAATAAAACTCAACTCTTCATAAGAAGAAAAACCAAAAAGACATATTGTTATTGGCTAGTTCTGTATATAAATACAAGTAACCTATCTAAAATGCCCCCCCACCCAACACACACATGAACAAGAACTATCTATATAGATTGTCCTTTACATTAATACAAGTAACCCAAGTGACTTATCCTCTATGTAAACAGAAACCTAAAGTTTCCTCTACAGCAGGAGTTGCCAATACTGTGAGACTGGGAGTTGCAGGAAAGTGCCATGGGACCATAGCAAATACAAAAATTACATAAGACTGTTAAGGTACTCATTGGACGGTGGGTGCGAAGTGTTCCGTGGAACTTTGTGCTGAAATAGTTTGGGAACCTCTGCTCTACATGTATATAAATAACATAACGAAATTACTCCCTTACTTGAACATAAATTATCTATCTATATTATCCTCTACATTTATGTATATAAGCTAAATGACGTGTTCGTCACTTGAACAGAAACTACCATCTGGTTTTCCTCTTCATGAATACAAGTACTGTATCTGGAGTGTTCTCCACATGGACAGAAATTACCATCTGATTTGACCTCTATATTAAAACAAGTATTCCATCTGGAATGTTCTCTACGTGGACAGAAACTACCATCTGGTTTTCCTCTTCATGAATACAAGTATTGTATCTGGAGTGTTCTCCACATGGACAGAAATTACCATCTGGTTTGACCTCTATATTAAAACAAGTATTCCATCTGGAATGCTCTTCACGTGGACAAAAACTAGCACCTGGTTTGACCTCTATATCAATATAAGTATTCTAAGTAGAATGTTCTCCACATGGACAAAACTACAATTCGGTACGTCCTCTATATTAATACAAGTATTCTATCTGAAATGCTCTCGACATGGATTGAAACTACCACCTGGTTTGACTTCTATATTAATAAAAGTATTCTAAGTAGACATGGACAGAAACTACCATGTTTTATGTCCTCTATACGAATACAAGTATTCTAACTAGAATATTTTCGACACGGACGGAAACTACCATCTGGTATGTCCTCTGCATGAATACAAGTTATTTCCTTGCGTTTTCTCTTTGCAAAGCTTTCTGGCCCACTGTAATTTTTGCGCCTTATTTTAGTCGACTAATAAAAAAAATGTATAGATACAGTATGAAAGGTTTCCTGCTCATTTTTTACGTTTTAAAAGCTATTATGTATTAGATACGTAGATAGATTTTCCTAAGAACATATATTTTATTTACAAAAATCGATCATGTCCTAGTTTCCAAAGCGTCAAACTTCTACGAAAATACGGTTTGATTTGTTACAACTGAGTAACATTTAATAATTGAATTATAATTTAATAAAATTTGCTTCGGTAATGCTTATACAGTTTCAGTTGGTGAGGACCTTAATTGAACAAGAACATTTTGCAAGTGAGTTACAAGATTTTCTAAATTCTAAAAACTTTTCTTTCAAAAAATCTTTCTCCGTGTAAAACTTCTATTGGACTGTTTTACATTTAAAATTGTTCAAAAATTATGGATAAATGCAGAATTTAGTATTGTAGGTTTAACACTACATTGTACTGTAAAAAAAAAGAGTAGCTAGTCTCAACTGATAAACTGGTCGAAAACAATAAATAACGTTATCAATAATCTTCTAATATTATCTAATGCTTTTTACATTTTTGACGATATGTATAAAACAAGAAAATTCTGATTTATTTACAGATATCACAATCCTAGACGTAACACACGATTTTGATGTTTCCATCACCTACTGAGTTTGACTTAAGCTTATTAGTCTACTGTGTGACAACCTTCGCTCCTCTCCTCTTTATTAGACCCCATTTCTTTTACGAATGTAACAGATTTTGGAAAAATTCTAAAGCTTTATAAAACGATATTCTCCAATTGAAAACTAAGTGTCAGGAAACGGAGTTTATATGACCATTAGCGAATCAAATTATGTTTAAAGAAATTTAACTAGCGAATGTTACTCGTGTTTCTTAAAAGCTGGAAACCCCGTGAAAACATATACATGGTCAAAATAATTAACAAGAAAAAATAGCTACAAATAAAACAACAACATATGTCCTCATTTGAAGATATATTCACGTTTTTTATCCATAATGACATAAAATGTAAAACATGAATAAGATTTATGGATATTGTCCAACTAAGACAGGAAGCAAAAGTACTTGAGGTAGAGTTATTTTCAGAGTGCTTGGGTAGGAATTACATAATTGACTTTTCCTTTACAACTTTAGGTTAGTTTAAAGCTTTTCTTAATATGACATGAATAAAAGGAAATTGTATTGTATACTA